TCTCTCTGACAACTTGAAAATTCCACGCTCGTAGAAAGTCTGATCCTTTTCGGCCAAAAACTGAGTTAAGTGAGATTTTACAGCGTCATAACCATTAAAAGTTTTACCACGAAGGGAGTTGTCCAGGGATCGAAATAAGTGGTAATCCGATGGCGCGAGATCAGGACTATATGGTAGGTGTAACATCAATTCCCAACCAATATCCATCAATTTTTGCCGAGTGGACAAAGACGTGTACGGCCTAGCATTGTCCTGGTGGAAAATGACACCTTTACGATCGACCAATTCTGGTCGATTTTCCTTGACCGTTGCATTCAATTTGTCCAGTTGCTAACATTCACTGATAATAAAAAATAACATAATAATAATGATAATAATAATAATAATTTTATAATATAACATTTACGGATATCATAAAAATGGGAGTGAGAGACATCTATAACTGAAATCGGCAATTACTTACTTGCTAATCCAATACTTACGACCTACTAACGAACAATTCTACAATTTTTATTTTACGTGAAGATCCAAAGTCTAATAGTAATAATAAGCTTAAAAACATTGTATTATAGTGCAGTTTCCAAAGATAAGCACGTATTTATTCAATCATATCGACACCATTGATGTAAGATTCTATAAGCTCCGCAGAAAGTTTAATAAAAGAGGAAGAAAATATTAAATCCCGCAACGAAGCAACCGTCTTGATCCGCGCACCTAACAATTATGCCCAACACTTGTTCGCCTTCAGTACCTGCGCTCCGAATCTTTCCTGGTAGCACCGCGACGTGCCATTTCTCTTGTTACTTTTAATCGCGAATCATCGTTTGAGCACCGGTGGATACGTAACAACAGGTATCAGATTACAAGCGCTCCTGTCGCAACAATTGCATCCTCTATTCACGGATTCCAGGCCAGAATGAAGCTGACCGGACCTGCACGCGGCCCGCCGCCTTTGTGGCCGTTTCTATCGCATTTTCGATGGAACCTCGGCATTATAAGGGTCCTGAATGGCCTTTGCCGACACAAAGCGCGTCGTTGTCGGCATTGAAATCCACCGGGTTCGTCCAACATTGCTCGAACCATGCCGTGACCGAGTTCAACTAACCGAACAACCGGAAGTCCTCTTTAATCGCGATCCTATGCGTTTTTCTTCCTCTTCCTGGATTAGGGCCGGTGTGGAGGGTCCGTTTTGACGGTGTGTCCTCGTCGTTGTAGATCGATAACAGGTGCGTTAATGCCCGGCGAGATTTGCTCGATAAACATCTTCGACGATCGGATCATCGTGATCGGGAGAAATGTAAGCGTGGTCGGCTCGGTGATGAATTTTGCAGCGAATAAACTTTATAAAGAACTTTAGAACAATTGTGTTGTCTGTGGCCGGAAGAAGCATCGTTTAATTACTATCATGTGTTAATCTGTTTTATTTCTGCGAGATAGACTGTGTTAATATATCACAGTTCGCACACTATTTGTTTTGTTAGAACTTGTTTATTCGTAAGACAATTTGTTTCGATTATGGAACTTAAATGCTTCGTACTCGGAAAATTGTTTAAAAATATACATTTACTGATTTCATTTCATTTATAGGTTCAAAATTTAAGCACACAAAATGTACTGCGTTAAAGGACATGTTCATGCAGATTTGAACTTTATGTACTAAAATGTATCAAATTTTTAACCATGGTACCTGGTTTGAACAGATTTAAGTCTTATCTATCAGCCGATGGTAACCTTTATTGGCTGCGAGTCAATATTGACCAAAATCTTACCATTGAGAAGAAACGTTAAACACAAAAATTCAAAATTCTAATTCTAATTATTATAAAAACAAACATAATTATCAAATTGTCGAATGGGTCACTTGGTAACCCGCAGGTCATAGGTTGCCAAGGGCGACACGTTATAAAATTGCCACTTTATTTCGCTATAAACGTGAGGGATGACCTGTGATGGTAGACAATCAAGTCCATAGCCTTCCTCGTCGCCGAAAACGATTTTCCGCGGTCAGTGCAATTAAACATGAAATACAAGCCCAGAAAGTGGCATTTTTCCCGCCCCGGAGAATCCCGCGGCGAGCACAATTATTGCTACAATGCGGTTTCAGTTTACCCGAATTACCGTTCGTGCTCGAAACGAGATACAATAATTAAGGGGAACCCTTGGCTACCCCGAGGCCCGGAAACGCCCACTCGTCGAATTACCATGCACTAAATCACAAACGTTTCCTGCATGTTTCAGATACGTCCTACGAGAAGGCCTGTCGAAGGGGTAGCGCACCAGCCACCCCTGTCCTCGGAGCACGACCCTTGGACGTCACCCCCAACAGAATCGTCGTAAGTTAATTTTCATTGGTGCCCTTTTAAATCACTGTAATTTCCATTCACTATAATTTCCGATCTTTCACAATGCTGAATGGCTCCGTCCAGTACGGGCACGATTCATAGAATAGGCTCATTGTGCTGCAATCGTAAAAGTGTATTTCTTTTCGAGCACGAGTTGCAACTAGGCTGCTTGGTCTCTATGCTAATTCGTATTTCTATAGGCGACTCAAGAATTTGTCAGCGCCAGAAATACGTTGGGACTACTGTTAAATCGTTTCGCTGAAACGTTTACCGAACTTTAGATTTAGAAATAGATATCAACTTCTAGTGTTCTTTGAAATGCATAATTTATGACTAACGATCTTTCAATGAGCATTAATACAATTTTTAACGAAAATCTTTGAATAAGAGCAGTTGAAATTGGAACGTATGTACTCCACAAAATTATTATCATAAAGTCGAACTTTTAGTTCCTGTAACTTCGTGTAAAAAAGATCTTGGAACGTTCTGTCTGTGCTCATTTTAAAGAGTCAAGCTCTCTACTTTTACGTCCTAAACTCAAAATACTTTACAATTTTTATACCCCAATTTGTTGGAGTTTAAAGAGCAAAAACTTTTTGATCACAATTTAGCGCGTTCCTTTGATATATATATTTCGTGAAGTAGTTTAATAAATAATCATTAGGAACGCAATCTTATAATTTCCTTCGAAATTATAATTTTAAAAAAGCAATCTAGTTACGAGTTTCCTGACCGAAAACGTTTTTTTAAAATTGCAATACATTTTACACCTGCACTGCATCTGTATTTTAACAATTATGATTAATGTATACAATTGATAAAATCAGAACTAACTATTTTTATTGACTATTATAAATTTCTTGCTTAAATAATATAATTTCCTGCATCGTCTGTGTCTAAAATGCATCTTATAAGATTTACGAATTTCTTATGGACCTAAAAAGTCGTCAATTACTTAAAATATTTATGTTAACAACACTTTCTAGTACCATAAAAATTGCAACATTCTAATATAAATTCATTCAAGCAGACAAGCGCACGATAGAAATTTACTAAATTCATTTTCAAGATCGCACTACGTTTATCTCTTATTTACGGATCACGATACAGAAACGACCGTCCAGAAATGTTTCTATACGAAACGCAATTTGCAAACTTCCATAAACATCCACGTTGCGACGTGGAGAACGGTTGAATTAACGATTTTTCTTCACGTAGAACTTCATTTGCCGGCGCCCGTCACCTGCCAGGAACGTTTCGGCGCCGTGCAAAAGTCGTTAATCGACGAAATGTCTCGGAATAATTATTTTATCGCGGAGGGGACGCGCGCCACGCTGCCTCGAATTCGCAATTAACGCCTAGGCGTCTCTCCTGTTTCGGGACACTGAAGAAGATCCCCGGTATGCTGTCCCGTCGCAGATCCTTATCGCGAGAAATACTTTTGGTGAATCTGTCAGCGCTGCGCCGAACTGCATTAGACTTGCAGATTAGATGCGACTCGAAATTCGAGCCGGCGACGATGAAGAGGGTCGGTTCGGCTTCTGGAATTCGTCGTTCCCGCTTCCGTATAGATCGTTTCGATACATGAAGCAGCTTCCGTTCCCCGAATCTGTAATTATCGGCGAGCAACTTTCTCCTCTCGATCGATGAATAAGAAATCGGAAGATTACAGGCAGCTTCCTCTGAAGAAATTGGGTGAGACGGCGCTAAGGTCGGCTCAAGGCCATTTTGAATTAATCAATCCGGCAAAATAGTTTCTGCGTTGACGCAATATGTTTTTATATATTTAAAAAAATATTTACTTATTAATGCTTTCAATCAGATCGTTTATTTAGCATATACAGAGATTTTTAAAGTATATTATAATATTTATTACATTATATAAATTGATTATATGAAACGATTGAAAGTGAAATTGAATTCTGATTAAATGATAATCACTTCAACAGGTTCACATTAGTGAGAATAACTTTAAAAGTGAAATTAAATCGATTCTTCCTTTCATCACGCCTTTATTTCGCTCTTCAAAAATGATCTCGATCGATAGATTGAAAATTGTGAAACTCGAGTGGATATTGCAATATGGTGTTCATCGAAATAGTTTTTGTTATATTTCAGTAACACCGCTTGACATTTAAATTTCAAAAAACAGTACCTCTTGCAAGCGTTCATGTGCATCGAAATGTTAGCCAATTTCTTACTTTAACAGTTCAATGAAACTCAGCATTTTCACGGTAGCGAAGGTATTTAGCAAAAGTAGCAAAGTTCAACTACCATTAAATGCCAGCCAATTCCGAGACGGTTTTGCGACCCGTGAAATTCGGTGTTCGAACGTTTCTCCATTTCTCTCACGGAATATTCTCACGTATTTGAAAAGATCCCCCGGACCTCGGAAGATAAATCGTCGTAGTCGATTCTTTTGTTGCAGCTTTTACATCCACTGCTTCCGGTTGAAATGCTCGGGCTCTCCGGCGACTCGCGCCACGACGCGCCGTAACGTTTCGCTTTCGAGGCACGGAAAACGGGACTCCGGTTTTCCAATCACGTATCTTCGATCTCTCGAATCTCTCGGTACATTGAGCCGTCGCTGACGGGCCGCGCACCTTTTCCTTTTATTCAAACAACAAGCACTTTAAACATCACGTCCATTGTGTTTCTCTTCTGTTCCTCGAACTCGAGGGGCGCCCGCAAGCTGTTCGAAATTTTTACAAATACGCCCGACGCCGTCGTCCCCGAGATCGTTGCGGTTAGCCTTGGTGCTTCTGGGGAAAAAAAAGATATTCCAGTGGAAGAACCCCGTTCAACCTGGCACAATAACGGCGGACAAAATCTGCTACACTTTCGAAACTCTCACCGCGATAAAAATATTCCCCGAACGAAACTATCGTTCGCTCGAATCGCTTGGACGTGGATAAAACAAATCGGAAAACTCGTTTCTCGGAAACTGCCGTTTCGAACATACCGTACGAACACGATCCTTACGTTCACTGCACCAAACAATTATAAGTTTTATTTCTATATCACTGGATTTCAAACGTGTCTGTTCGTTTATTGCGATGCAAGTGTGAATTATTCTGCTTCTCGTTCAATTTAATTTACTTTCGTATTTTCTTTCAGCTTGAAGATGGTCGTTTATTTATTTATTTGTACTTGTTATTTTTATAATACTATGCTATTAAATAGTAAAATATAAAATATAAATATAAAATAAAATAATAATATAATAATAAATAAAATATATAATATATATATAATAATAAATAAAAATATAAATATAAAATATAAATAGTAATTAGTCATAAAATAGTCAATTAAATTGAACGAAACTGAATCACGGATACCGAGTATGTCTGCATTTACTTTCGTTCCTCGATTCTGATAACAGAAGAATCAAATTTTGTTACAAATTTAGAAGAAACGAATTAATTCATATTTAGTAGATTATCTATGGAATCTTCGCCCGACTTGTTGTTATATCGCAATAAGACAAAACATAATCTTACGATCGAAATTGTTCGTTTACTATGCCATATCGATTCTCTTATTATAAAATTGCTATTTATAGCGTAAACTATTCCGCGGGAAAATAGTGGTTTCGAAATGTGAAACCACTCGCACCATCGGATCCACGGGTCCTCGGCGATCGAATAATAGATCTATCGGTGCATTAACATTAACGCGACACGCCTCGAGGCAATTTCATCCCCATTCTCGCTCGGGATAGGACTCCTTTTCTCGGGAATGCCACCTTTGCCCTTCGCTTCCGTTTTGTTGCATAAAGCGACACACGCTGCCCCCACGCTGGACGTAAAAGTAGACGGACGTCGCTGCATGGAAAATATCGATCCGGTGTCTGCAGGTGTTCTCAAATCTCACGCGGCAGATTGCTTTCCAGGCCGTGACGTGACTGCAAGTCGCAGGTGTTCCGAGAGTAGATTTCTTGTATCGATACGTATTCCTTGTCTTCGGAGAGTTCTTTCGCCTCTTAACTTCGACTTTTCGCTTATGGTCGCCGGGCACTTTAACGTGTTGGCCTTTTTCGTCGAATGTTGGCTAGACGATGGAAGACAAGATTTCAAAGATCAACTCTTCGGCAATGCCTGTCTCTCTAATATTGAACTTTTATGTAGCTCCCAGTCGAAACTGTATAGCTTCCAGTACGAATTATATGCGTCGTGATTCATTTCAAATAAATCAATTCACACCGGAAATATTTACAATGTGTGAGGGATGGTTTAAAACCTATGAAAGTCGTCTACTACTATCAAAACTTGTTTAATCAATTAACACACAAATTCGGACACACGCGTAGCAAACACACAAACAATTTTGACAAGAAACTTGATAAAATTGAAACATCCTTTAATAGTCGTCATAAGCTCGTGTTGTAAATCGGTGAATAATGCAACAAGTAAATAATGACTATACTGGATTTTTGAGTAAAATAAAAGTTGTCCAAAATAATCGCAAGAAACGCAAGTAAAAATGACTTTTCTCTTTTAATAATTGTAGTAAATTGAAGATAATGTAACAGCATCCTTATAAATTCTTCTAATCTGTTTATATTTCTGTGTTTCAACTACTCATTTTTACCATAAATGTAATGAAATCTGCAGTCTAGTAATTACTACTCATGTTAGGACATACTGCAGTATTCTCTAAAAATTGCAAGCATAACTAAATCTAAAGAAAGTTTCTCAAAAATTAATTTTAGAAATTAGTTACCATGTGCCATTATAGTGACTTGCCATTGGATAATGATCTTTAATGAAGAGCTACTATGAAAATATTAAGTCAAAATGTAAATTTATTAATGTAAATTCTTTTTCTAACGTTTTAATATTTTGACATATTTTATTCTATTTCAATAGTCTAATTTATGTGTATTATAATAATCACGCTATTTTGAATTAAAATTTTTATTATTTTAATTGTTATAATAAAGTTAAAAGATCTGTACGATTTGACAATCTTTAGTTTTATTCCCTTTA